CTTTGGTCAGCCGTTTGTGCGGTTCTTGCTGTCGGCACCAGCTGTGGTGTTTTCTGGGGTGGGCTTCTTGTTTCCGGCGTCCTCTGTGGTGGATTTGGTCTGGGCTTTGTTCCGGCGGCGCTATTGGTTGTGGGTTTCGGCGATTTCGACAGCAATCAGCGGTTCTTCTCGGTAATTTCAGCCATCTTTGGGACTCTGTCTTCCTTACCCAGTTTGTGGTTTTTTTTTTCGGTGCAGTCTATTCATCTCGGTGACTGTTGTTTAGTTTTATTCTCACAGTGCAAGTTAAATTTTTGGTGGGATATTGTCTATCTTGGTTTCATCATGTCGTTGGATAGGTTGGAGTCGTTTCATGTTAGATTTACTGGCAAAAATTTTTCTGCTTGGGAGTTCCAGTTTAAATTATTTGTCAAAGGAAAAGAATTGTGGGGTCATATTGATGGAAGTGCTCCTGCGCCTCAAGGTACCGAGGCTTTGTCTAAGTGGGAAATTAAGGATGCTAGGGTCATGACTTGGATCCTTAGCTCAGTTGAACCTCATCTTGTTCTCAATTTGAGGCCTTATAAAACTGCTGCTGCTATGTGGAATTATCTCAACACGGTTTACAATCAAGACAACTCCGCTCGGCGATTTCAATTGGAGTATGAGATGGCTCATTTCACACAAGGAAGTCTCTCAATTGAGGAATATTATTCTGGTTTTCAAACTCTTTGGGCTGATTATTCCGACATTGTTTATGCTAATGTTCCTGTTGCAGCTCTCTCTGCTGTCCAAGCAGTGCATGCAACCAGCAAGCGCGATCAATTCTTGATGAAGCTACGACCCGATTTTGACATTGTACGATCAAATTTGATGAATCGTCATCCTGTACCATCTCTGGATGCCTGTTTAAGTGAACTCCTTCGTGAGGAGCAGCGTCTTGTCACACGGGCTGCCATGGAACATCGGGTTGATGTTAGTGCACCTGTTTTCGTGGCTTATGCAGCACAGGGGAGGCATAAAGGTAGGGACATGCGTGCTGTCCAGTGCTTTGGTTGTAAAGCTTTTGGCCATATTGCTCGGGATTGTTCCACGAAATTCTGTAACTATTGCAAGAAACAGGGTCATATCATCTCTGCTTGTCCCATTCGCCCTGAACGGAAGCGGGGTACTGCTTTTCATGCCTCCACTAGTGCCTCGAGTTTTGCTGCATTGCCTGCTACCTCGCCGGTTGTTCCTATTCCTGCTCCTGTCGCCTCAACACACCCAAACACACTCACTCCTGAAATGGTACAACAGATGATCATTTCTGCTTTTTCTGCTTTTGGGCTCTCAGGTAATCATAAAGATTCTTCTACGCCATGGTATTTTGACTCTGGCGCCTCTAACCATATGACCAATACTGTTGCTCCTCTTTCCCATGTCAGAAATTATGATGGAAATATGAAAATTCACACTGCTGATGGTAGTTCTCTGCCTATCAGTGCTGTTGGTGATCTTTCCTCTTCGTTAACTGATGTTTTTGTGTCTCCTGCCCTCTCCACAAATCTTCTCTCTGTTGGTCAATTAGTTGATAATAATTGTAATGTCCATTTCTCTCGTTCTGGTTGTGTTGTGCAGGATCAAGCGTCAGGGAAGATGATCGCGAAGGGGCCTAAAGTGGGACGACTTTTTCCTCTTCATGTTTCCCCTCTCCCTATTCTTCCTAGTTTTCCTTTACTTTCATTTGCGTGTACTGCCGTTGGTTCTGGAAGTAAATTGTGGCATCGGCGTTTGGGCCACCCAAACTCTGATGTACTCCGTACTTTGTTTAATTCTGGATTATTGGGAAATAAAGCATGTTCCTCTCTTGATCTTTCTTTTAATTGTACATCATGCAAACTTGGCAAAAGTAAAGTTCTACCTTTTCCTCATAAGGCATCTCGTGCCTCCCAATGTTTTGAGCTTATTCATAGTGATGTTTGGGGGATTGCACCAGTTGTTTCTCATGCGCATTACAAGTACTTTGTTGCTTTCATTGATGACTTTAGTCGCTTTACTTGGGTTTACTTTCTCCGGGCTAAGTCTGAAGTTTTTTTAGTTTTTAAGCGCTTTCTTGCACTACTTGAGACTCAATTCTCTGCCAATCTCAAAGTCTTGCGCTCTGATTCTGGCGGCGAATACATGTCTACTGAGTTTCAGGACTTTCTTCAAAACAAAGGGATTTTCTCACAGCGTTCTTGTCCTTCGACGCCACAGCAAAACGGTGTTGCTGAGAGAAAAAATCGCCACCTTCTTGATGTGGTCAGAACTCTTTTACTTGACTCATCTGTTCCTTCTCATTTTTGGTGTGAAGCACTTTCTACTGCCGTTCATGTGATCAATCGCTTACCATCTCCTACGTTAAATAATGTTTCTCCTTTCTTTAAATTATTTGGTCATTCTCCTTTATATGCTGATCTTCGTACATTTGGATGTATTTGTTTTGTGCATCTCCCCCCTCATGAACGACATAAACTTAATGCTCAGTCGGTTAAGTGTGCTTTTCTTGGTTATGCTATCCATCAAAAAGGTTATGTTTGTTATGATCCCATTGCTCGTCGTATACGGGTCTCTCGGAATGTGGTTTTCTTTGAAACTCAATATTTCTTCCCATCTCATGCTGAGCAGTCATCTGCACCTGTATCTCTTCTGCCTAGTTTTTCTGATTCCTCACCAATTGTAGAAAGGTTTAAACCTGGTTTTGTGTATGAACGACATCGTCGACATGAGTCTGTTTCCACATCCTCTATGCCCTCTTCCGATCTTGCCCCGACGCCTGATCCTGCTCCTGCTTCTGCTCCTACTTCCGCCACTCTTCGTCGATCTACTCGTCCTTCTCGACCCCCTGATTGGTATGGTTTCTTCTCTCCTGTCTCTCTTGTCGCTACTTTATCTACTATTTCCATTCCCTCTTGCTACAAACAGGCCAATGAACATGAGTGTTGGCGAATTGCAATGCAAGCAGAACTTCGGGCACTTGAGGAGAATCACACTTGGGATATTGTTCCTTGTCCTCCTACTGTCAAACCAATTGGGAGTAAGTGGGTTTTTTCTGTCAAACTTCGTTCTGATGGCTCTTTGGACAGGTACAAAGCTCGTCTTGTAGCTCTCGGTAATAAGCAGGAATATGGGGTTGATTATGAGGAGACATTTGCTCCTGTTGCCAAAATGACCACGGTTCGGACCATCTTAGCTATTGCCGCTTCACAGTCGTGGCCAACAGGGATATGGGGTTGATTATGAGGAAACGTTTGCGCCTGTTGCCAAAATGACCACGGTTCGGACCATCTTAGTTATTGCCGCTTCACAGTCGTGGCCAATGCATCAGATGGATGTGAAGAATGCATTTCTTCATGGTGATCTCCACGAAGAGATTTACATGAAGCTTCCCTCTGGTCTGACTCCTTCTTCTCCTCATGATGTCTGTAAGCTACGGCGTTCTCTGTATGGGCTCAAGCAAGCGCCCCGCGCTTGGTTTGAGAAGTTTCGCAGTACACTTCTCTCCTTCCATTTTACACAAAGTCAATATGATTCTTCTCTCTTCTTCCACACGTCTACGTTGGGTATAGTTATTCTCCTGGTTTATGTGGATGATATTATCATTACTGGTACTGACTGTGGTTTGATTACCAAGCTTCAGCAGTTATTACATGCCACCTTCCATATGAAAGATCTTGGCCAGCTCACTTATTTTTTAGGATTGGAAGTTCATTATCGAGCCCATGGTATTTTCGTGAACCAGCATAAGTATGTTCAAGATCTTTTCACTTTGGCTGGTTTGGATGACACTTCTTCTGTTGATACTCCTATGGAGGTAAATATTAAATACAGGAAAGATGAAGGGGATCTTCTGGATGATCCTACTCTTTATCGCCGCCTGGTTGGGAGTCTTATCTACTTGACCACTACTCGACCTGATATCTCCTATGTTGTTCATCAAGTTAGTCAGTTTATGTCTTCTCCTCGACATCTCCATCTTGCTGCAGTTCGCCGCATCATTCGCTATCTTCGGGGCTCACCTACTCGTGGGTTGTTCTTTTCTACCGGCTCCTCTCTTCAACTTGTTGCCTATAGTGATGCGGATTGGGCTGGGTGTCCAGATACACGTCGTTCTACTACAGGTTGGTGTATGTTTTGAGGTGATGCCTTAATTTCTTGGCGATGTAAGAAACAAGATCGTGTTTCTAAATCCTCTACTGAAGCTGAGTATCGTGCCATGTCTACTGCTTGTTCTGAAATTGTATGGCTACGTGGTCTTCTTGAGGAGCTCGGATTTCCCCAGACTACTTCTACTCCTCTTCATGCCGATAACACTAGTGCTATTCAAATTGCTACCAATCCCGTTTTCCATGAACGCACCAAACACATTGAAGTTGATTGTCATTCTATTCGAGACACTTTGGAAAGTCGGGTGATCTCTCTTCCTCACATCTCTTCTGATCTCCAAGTGGCTGATATCTTCACCAAAGCTATGCCTCGACAGAGGCATCAATTTCTTGTTGGCAAATTGTTGCTAGTTGACTTACCAGCATCAATTTGAGGGGGGATGTTACCATATACAAATTTGGGAGTTTATACAATTTAGGACTCTATTATTATTAGCTATTTATATATATATTCTTACCATGTATAGATGCGAAAATTAGGAATCAATTACCTGTATATAGAATGGAGGTGGCCGAATCACAGGATCATCTTTTTCCAAAAATTCTCTCTTCATACTCTCTAGTATTTTGACAAATGTACCCTGGTAGCACGTTAAACATGGATGTATAGGAGAATACTGACACGATTTAAAATATCAATTTTATTAATGCTTCTGTGCCCTGCCTTTTTTGATTAGACGCCTTAGCTCTTCCCAGCCAAAAAAGAAAAAGTAAATCTTAGAAAGAATCAGAAATAACCAAGTTATAAAGAATGTTTCTCACTAAGCTATAACATACAAGTAATTTGACCAACAGGGAGTGCTACAGTCTGATGTCGATTTGTCACTAGTGACATTGCAATTGACAATCAGCCACAGCTGACCTTAGCATTTACTAATATGCGAAGATGTAGAGAGAGAGAGAGGAAATGTGCATTAAGATGTTTAATTAAAATAAACCACCACGCTTGCAAAATGAAATATGGCTGAAAAAGCAAGCAAAGTTTTCAGCAAATAACTGCACCTTCAAATATGATATGTATTCACGTTGCATATACTTTACAGAACATTCAAGTATGAATCAAGCAACAAGCAGTCATTTGCTCCTGAATCCATTAAAAGCAACAGAATCAAAGGCAAGAGATAAAAGGGTTCAATATTTAGAAAACTCAAAAGCCATTGGACTATCAAACAACCATTTCACAGAATTACAGTGTAGTGTATGGATACTTGTCCCATAGACCTTACATTCGTATAATTAAGCATGATCACATAACAATCAAGCATTTACTTCTGAATCCTTAAAAAACATCAAAGCAAAAGAACTGGAAAGAGGATGAATATATAGAGAACTCAAAATGCCAATGGACCATCAAACTAATGCTCCAAAAAATAAGAGAAACGTTGAAAAAAGTCTGAGGTAGCGTACAGTTGTATAACTTTTATAATCTGATATTCCTAGCTGTCCAAAATCATTGAGACCAGTGGCATACACATTTCCATTTTCTGCCAAAAGAGGATGATTAATTTATGAACCTAAGCAAATACACAGAGAATCTTCAATAACTTGACAATTATATAAAATATCGAATTAGATGTCCTGTCATAACAGCCACTTTCATTTTTCTTGTGAATTTTATTTTAATTTATTGAAAAACCATAAACAGATTATTTCTTTTTCTTTTCTAAATTTTCTACAAGCTCTTATCATTACCAATCTACAAAATTAGTCTTTTGGCTTCGTAAATTTTGTCTCTTTGATGCTTGTATGTGTGATCCATACTTGAACTTTCGTATGGATACAATAACATTTCATGTTCTTCCAAAATGAGAGAAAAGCTGATAATCAAGATGCATACAAGGATTACACAACATCCTGTACACTTACTGAGTGAGAGAAAATAACTCACACGATAGAACTGAAAGAATATATTATTCTGCAGACAGCCGAATAACCTATTTAACAAATTCTCAGTACTCAGGGAACTAATTTTAGAAAATTAGTTCTCAAATTTTATAACTTTTGATTAGCTTATATGAAATTCGAGTTCAAAAGCTTCAGATTCATTCAAGCTTGCCAAGTTCCTAAAATGTCCCAGTCCCACCACCCAAAAGATAAGGATAAAATAAAATAAAATATATCCTTATATAAAGGCAAATTGGCCTTGAAACCGTGAAAATCAACAATTCATCCGATTCAGAAGACAACAATTGTGATATTTAAATACTCTGACATTAAAAAAAAAAAACTTATACACCCACAATCAATTCAATAATTAATGTAAAAAATAACCTATCAAAAAATTAAAAATTAGCATTTCCACAAAAATCAAGCACAGAAAAGGAAAAATAGAAGAATGTTGAGTTCACCAGTGAGGAAAAGAGTGTGAGCACCACCACAAGCTATCTCCTTAACACTCTGATTATCAAAAGCAGAGGAAAAAAGAGGCATAGGCCTCCACTGAGACTGTAAATTCCCCAATCCCAGCCTCCCATAATCACCGTTTCCCCATAACGCCACGAATTTCTTGCCTTTGTTCAATTTCCCGAATTGTTTCTCTTCTTCATTCCCAAATTTAACCGAAACCAATCTCCTAAAACTCGATCCAAAAGCAGATTTTGCTTTCTTAGCCAAATTTTCTGCTGAAGATGATGATGTGAGTTTCTTCATGCAAGCATAAGTTCTTGGTATCGTCATGCTTGTAATTGTGGGGATTCCAAATCAGGTTCATGAGAAAGTGAAGGATTCTGCTTACTGTTTGATTAGTTGATTTATGGCTTGAAATATTGCAACGTCTGTATTCGATGTATGGAGGTGTTGGGTCTTTTATAACCGCAGCTAGAGACTTGTTGGTGGCAGACTGACGAGTTAAAGCATTTTCTAGAGGCTGTATAGAATCTCTCTCTGAGTCGGTTTCAAGGGTATTTCTATATGGAAAAACGAATTCTATTCGAAATATTTTTAAAAAAAAGTTTAGGTATTTTTAATTAAGATTTCATTATATTTCTGACTTTTAAATAGTTCTTAAATCTTAAATTATTAAATTAATATTTTTTAAAAGTCAAAAAGTCACTTAGGCCATATCCTATGCTGTTCCCAAAATACCATTATGCACCAGGCCATATCCTATGCTGTTCCCAAAATACCATTATGCACCAAAAATGGTGCAAACTCTCTTCAACCTAAAGCCATATTTTGCACCATTTTGGAAAGTGAATATTGTTGCACAAAAAATGATTAAATATAATTTTGCCCTTCTCATTCTCATTCAAAAAAAAAAAAAAAATTGATTTTAAGGGTATTTGTGTCCATTTTTGTTATACATTTTTTAATACAAAAAATTATTGTTATTGTTGTTATTGTGTGCATTTGTAATAAATTTTAATAATGTAATCAATAATAGTCAAGGAATAATTAAAATAAGAATGCTAAAAAAAATTAAAATGTAACAAACTTGATTATTTAAAGTTAACACGAAATATATCACAACAACCACATACATCCATTACTAGATTTATTGAAAGATAACGATACATAAAATAGGCGAATAAATTGCAACACTATTTCGACTCCGTAATATCATGATATTAGAATTCAAAACGCACTGTACTATTTTTTAATGACATGATTTAATATTTTCTATTTCTGTTGTTTCTATTAATTGTACTATGCCTTTAAATTTATTAATGAATTTAATATTTTTGTTAATTTAACGTAATTAGTTATTTAGTAACTTATGTAGTTGTAAAATAAATTAATAAATAATTTTTCAAATAAATAAATTGTTAAGAATAAGAAAATAAAGAAAATGATTAAACACCATTCATTTAGTGTATGTTTTGGTTTAATGGGTTGGAAATAATTTTTAGTTTGGTGCATGATTTGGTACAAATGGTACAATCTTATCTCAAATTTTGGTGCAGAGTTGGAGATTGCCTTAGCATTAAAATTTCAATGATTTTTAATGTCTTTTATATAAAATCCTCCACTTAATAATTTTTAAATAGAAAATACATATACAAAATTCTGTGAGAAGTCTCTCGCTCACCTCCAATATTTTGAAAGACTTTCACACACACAAAAAAAAAAATGAAACATGTATTTCCATCTGTAATTTCTCTTTTATCTGTCCTTCGAGGGGGTTTAGCTTGCTCCCTTCGTAGTCATTCTTTCTAAAGGAACAACGTCAATACCATGATACATTCCATGATACAAAAAATCAATATTTTTCTTTCCCATCAAAATGTTATTATTGTTATTCTCTTTTTAATACTCTCATTTCTTTTTTGTCTCTCTTCTTTTTTTTAATAAAAAAATTTATAAAACTTTTATTTTTTTTCATGGTTTCCTCAAATTTTTCGATAGAGAAATATCAGTTTTTAATTGATAAAATATTTAATTTTTTAATTATTTGTTTAATTTAATAATTTTGTACATGTTTGAACATACTCATAAAATGAACCTTAGAAATTTCCTTTTTTTTTTTTTTTTCCCCATCAAAGAGTATTGAAATACTACAATTTTTTATTGCATTTTGGTTGTTTATTTTATAATTTAGATGACTTACATTTTTCATATTGTTCTAATAAAAAATTTATTTACATGAGAAATATAATTTTGTTATTGTGTGTTGTGGATCATTTGTTCATGCAAATAACGGTTCAAAAGGATGTGCAATAAATCATATAAAAGATAATTTTTTCTAAAATGAAAGTTCATAAAATTCAAAGGAATTCTAAAATAGTTTTAAAGTAAAACTCTACAAGAGTCTGCGAAAACCTTCATTGATTCTGTAAAAAGTCAATAAAAGTTCAATAAATTGTACGAAAGTCATTTACTTAAAAAAAGGTAAAAAGTCTTTAAGAATCCAAAATTCGTCTCCTAAATTGCACAAATATTGAACAAAGGGAACAATACATATATAATGTGTTTACTATATACCATTTCAATTTTAAGAAACAAGCTTTAAATATTCAAAAGTCTAGTGATAAATAATATATATAATATATATAGCCCTTGCTTGATTCTCATTATTTTTAAAATATATTTATCTCTTTTTTCTTTTAAATCATGTATTTTTCAATAAAATAATATTACACGCAAATCCAAACTTTTCCTTATTTTTCAACAACACATTCTCTATCAATCTATTATTCCAAAATGAATTATTAAGAAAAAATGGGGCTCAAACATGGAGTTAGTATATATATTAAATTAGGTTCTAATAAATATCCATCCTAAAATATGGCATTTTTACGATATGTTTCCATTCCAAAGAGGACTCTACATTTTAACAAATTATGACAATCAAACAAAAGATAAAATCTACAGAGAACTCTTTGGAACAAATAATCTCGTCGAAATTTGGCTCATTGAAAATCGTCGGACTATTGAGATTACAAATTGAAAGTTATCGACATTGTATAGCTAATTTTCTTAAGGCAATGGTCACAAACTGATGGGATAATAAAAATAGCAAATTGAGATTGGTGATCATCTAGAAGTAAGTTTGTAGGGTTTTTAAGTCACAATTGGTGGTGGATAACATTGTATTTTTATTGGATCTTTCTATTTTTGAATTTACGAAACAGTGTTGAAGCTTCGGTCGTGAGTTGCTATGGCGAAATCAAAAAGCTCTATTTTCGTGGGTATGTAATTAATGTGATTATGAGTTGATGTCACAATTTACTACACCATGCAAGATCTTTTACTGTCTTGTGAATTTGATCTGGTCACATTTTCTCCATGCATAATTGTTATTATTTGTCACAATTACTTATTGGGTGTTGAGATATTAATTAGTTGTTTGGCATGGTCCACACTGTGCGTGAGGAGGCGTATTAGAATCTCACATTGTTTGAGAAAATATAAATGATCCACTTAATAAGGTGAGGACAATCCTCCCCTAATAAGCCGGTTTTATTAGGTGAAGTTAGGCCCAATATTCTTAACATGGTATCAGAGCCCATTATGCTCCAACGAGCGATTCGATCCCGGTAAGACTTCAAAAAAGTGAGCACGTGGATTTCAAGATTGGTCTGCTCAAATGAGCCATCATCTTGCGAGGGCATAGCTTATTAGAATCCTACATTGTTTGGGAAAATATAAATGATCCACTTAATAAGGTGATGGCAATCCTCCCCTAATAAGCCGGTTTTATTAGGTGGAGTTAGGCTCAATATTCCTAACATTGGGTGAATTGATTTTGACATCACACGGTCACAAACTATTCGAATTCAATACATTGCAACATTGTTTTACGTTTTATAATGATTTACACAATTCATAATATTGGTCACATTCACAAATTGTGGCTTATTATTTTATACATGTCTCAGTGACCTGAATTCTATCTCTTTGTGTAGTATGTAAACCTTGTGACCTGTGTGACTTGTGAGTTATCCACAATTGTTTAAATCTTATTAGTTCATGCAAGTATCTATGACCTGAACTTTATCTTTGTATACTGATATTTACAGTACTTAATCTCTTAATGCAAATGTTATATAACATCCAAGTGGCCATTAGTGTCCATTCTATGACATGTAGTTAAAAGTTGTGACCTATATTTAAACCCTATAACCTATAAGTATGTCCACAATTGTTTAAAGCTTATTACTGCATTTATGTCTCCGTGACCTAAAATCTATCTATGTGATCTGATATGTGCAATACTTAATCTCTTAATGCAGATACCATAGAACATCCATTTGATTGTGACTCGTAATTAAAAGCACTTACCTGTATCAAATTGGATTGTGACATCATGTCTGCAAATATGATAATTGTGTCTTGTAATGGTAGTTGTGACTAACTTATTTTTTCTTGTACATTTGCATAAATGGATTATGTAGATGTTTCTAAGTTGAATGAATCATATTCATTGTTGGTGTTGGTTGATCATAGTTGCAGTTATATGAAGTTTGCGGACATCGATATGCCCGAGTTCGGTTTAGAACCTACTAATATAGCAATCACAATGAAGTACATATTAAACAACGATCTCTATCTCCAGTCAGAATAAATAGTGACAACAGTGCATTGTTGCACATGACGTTAAAATGTAGATTGTGACCCTTCCAAATACCCCATAAGCATTGATTTCACAACTATAGAAAGTGAACAACAAACTATCAATTTTCCATTTATACTTGACATGCTTGCCATATCTTGCTAATTAATGGATATAGTAGAAACATAAGTCCATTATTGTGGCAATACAACATACAACAATTATTAAGTCACATAAAGTGTCAAAGAACAGTGAAATTATAAATAATATTTATCTGTGATCTATGCACAATGAGTTGTGACCTATAACTTGTGACATGTGACGTATTACATATGAATAGAAATCAGTTATCCGTGAATATAGATTACACATGTGAAATGTGGTCTTTGCACGTTGATCTGTAATATGTACAAAATAATTTATGACCAGTTCTCTATGATCTGTGACCTGTGTATTTTAATCTATGACCTTTGTACATTGTCTTATGACATGTGTACAATGTCATGTGACCGTCACTTGTGAACGTATGCACAATGACCTATGACATGTGATCTGTGACCTACAGGAATTTATAAATTGCATCATATTGTGCTACTCAATAACGACTCTGAATTTCTCGTGCCACCATAATTTAAATCCTATAGGGATTGAACCAAAACAAAAGGTAGATGAATAACATCATCTA